GAATAGTCTTAGAAATGATCTCTTATCACAGTCCTTGTCACAGAAACAACCCCGTCGTGATGAGCCCTGGTGCGGGTCTTCATAAATTCTGCTGCATGTACAACTATACCGAGATCTCATCTTCAATGTCCTCCAGCAGCAGAGAGATACCACGGTCCTCGTCAGCGGGGAATGCGTCAACGGCACGGATGGGAGAGTCATCAGTGCTGCTCGTGTTCGGCATCTTTTTGTAGTCCCCTTCATCTTCGGGTCAAACCATGGACAGGACAACCGGCAACAGGATAAGCCCGTAACCAATTCCAAGTGCGACGAGTCCAATGAAAGCTCGGAAGATAGTCCTGAAAATCTCGCTCGTGCTAAAGGCCAAGAGCATGACACCCAGAAAGGTAGAAATACCTCCAACCAGAATGGAGCTTCCCATGGTGTGCAGGGTTTCCTTAACACGCTCCTCTCGGGGTCCGTGGCACTCATAGTACCGCAACAGAATGTGCTAAACAGAGGTCAGAGATAGATGATAAGGGGCGGCTCAGAGATGCGGCCACGTGCAGCAAACCAAACTTTTTGTATCCACGCACCATGACAAAGTCGACCAAGAGACCAACACTCATCACCAACGTAATGTAGCTCACGGGATTCACGGCAACACCCATAAAGTACAACAGGCCCAGGAGGTCAATGTAGACCGTCACGATCGATGGGACGACAAAGAAGATTGCCGTCCAGTGCGGGATAAAGACCAGCCCAATAACACTGACAGCAACCACACTAGCAACAGTGGTAAACGTCAATTCCTCCGGCACAACAGCATAGAACTCCCACATATTCATGGTGTCTTCGAAGATGAAGCATCTCTGGTCAGGGCCAGCCAATCCCTGATTCATGGGTTGTTCTCCTTCAACGTGTCGGATCAATTTGAGGCGATCCTGAAGAAACCTGGAGTCTCCCAAATCAATATCCATGTGCACATCAACGCGTGATGCGGTAATGTTGCCGAACTTGTCGCGTACAATATGGTGGTCGTAGAGACTATTGTACAAGGGATCCTCCAAGAAAGCGTCGAGTTGTTCATTAAACGTCAGAGTTGCATTGCTTCTGTTCAATACCAAATCTTTGGCCACAAACTTGTCAAAGTCGTTCATCCATATGTAGGGAGGATCCTTTTGGATGCAGTCGTTTTGGGCCAAGTCTAGCAAATAGTCCTTCATTTCTTGTCGAATCAAAGGGTCCGATTGGTCCACGAATCGAAAGTAGACGTCCGCACCGATGCCTACGCTGGGACTATGTGCATCCAGGAAATCAAAATAGTCTTTGACATATGAATCCGACGGGACAAGATCAATAAAATCCATCTCCTGTCGCAGTTGTGTAGTTCCGTAGATGCATGCTCCAAGTAAGGCTGCGAATGCCAACACGACAACCCCCTTGACAAAGGGACGCAGCAAGAACCGGGCATACATATCCATGAAGCGAGAGGACAAGCTGGGCTTTTCCGCGAGCTGTTGTTCTGGTTTGTCGCCATCGTCTTGCGCTTCTTGATTTTCAATTTGTTTTTGGTTTTCCGTGTATTTGTTTCCAGCGTCAATGCAGACGAGGCAATCGATTTTGTTTCGTTGGATGCGTCGTTCGTCAATGACAATGAGACTTATGAAGAATGTGATTTGGTATAGAAAGTCGATAATGATGGTAGGGAATGCATAGAGACATAGCCAATATACGGCGGTAATACTGCTGATGCATCCCAGGCCGAATGCCAAGGCCGACGTCAATGTGGTGAGAGCAATGGACAAACCAATGTCGTCGATGGTATCCGCCACTCGTTGGACAGGATCTTTTTTTGTGTCAGTGCGACTGTAGGATCCGGAAATGATGAATGCATCATCTAGACCAATTCCAAACATGACAAAGACAACGATTTGTGTGGCAGATGTCATGGGTACTCCGGCGAGGAAGAAAATTCCGTATGATGTAAAGACGGAGAATAGTACCCCCACAACGGCACCAAATCCTAGCAACGATTGTGACCTGACCCGATCCCATTGTGCAAATACAATGCAGCAGAAAATGCTCATGACAATGAAAGCAGCCGGCATGAGTGGTAGATCGTTGGCGACGGCTCTGTCGAATTCGTCGTCGAATGATGTGGATTGGAGTACTTCGAGCTGATACTTGTAGGGACTGTTTACGTCTCGTGCATCCCATTGTTCCTGCAATTGGAAGACAGCGTCAACGACTTGTTCTGACACGAATTGTTTGGATTCGTCTCGAAGGGGAAATAGCATATCAATGCGGTATCCCTCAGTGTGTGTCAATAGGCCTGCTTGGTCGTATTTGGCATTTCCGTAAATGCGATCAGGGTCGACGTCCCTTCCGTAAGGGAATTGATTTTCGGACATGCCAACAGTGGCCTCATCATTTGAATCCACGGATAGCTGGAAAATTTTTAGGGACTGCCACCAAAAGTCTACGACTCCATGGTGGAAGCATTCCATGGTAACATTGGTGACAGGGTCGGTGTATGGGCTGTCGCAAAGGTCAGTATATCCTGGCAATGCTTGTACCATGTCGCGAACTTCAAAGGCTCGAGTGACGGCTTGAAGTGCATCTTCTTGAAGATTGGCTCCATCTAGGTGAACGTAAATGACACTATAGTCTAGCTCCTGTGAAAAGCTGCTTTCATTTTCGATCCAGTTTTGATGTTGCTTGGTGGTGGATCCCTTAGGAGGCCACAAAACATCTCCATTGGTTTCCACTTGAAAGTTGGTGAAGAGTCCCGCAGCAACCAATCCAATACTGAGGATTGTAATGCCAATGACGTAAGTCCAAGGATGAGTGGCGGCAGAGTGAGTAATGATCTTGAGGAATCCACAAAGACGGACTCTCACAGAATCAATGGCTCGTGTCCAACGCTGGGAAAAGGTGAGATCAGATTCAGGCGATGAAGGGGCGTTGGGCGTGCTCTTGTGTGTGGTCTTGGGGGTGTCAAAGGTGAGGCTGTTGCTATTGCTATTGCTATATGTGTCATCTGCAGATTTACATGTAGCATTTTGAAAGTGGATAAGATGAGGGTGAGGGGCTACAATTTTAACAATGACACGACTGGAACTCGAGCCTGAACAATTAGTCATCTGGTCGCACACTGGCTCACCTCCTCTGCTGATGGTTGCGCTTGTTGTTACCACTGTGGAAGTCTTCGTCTTTCTATTGAGCTCGAAGGCGACTGCACCGCCATTGCGATTCTCGGTCTTCGTCATCTTGCATTCCTCTTACTCTTGATAGCTCCCAGTTGGTTTGTTGAGGAGTCAGTCAATAGAGGACTCGTTCCCCTACTAGACTACTAGTTGTTTGGGAGTGTTGTTGCTTTCAGCCTTCAATTTTAGCTAAGAATTGTGAAGCTCCCAGCAATTTCCCTGCTCCAATCCCCCCTTTGATTCAATTTTGTTAAAAACGACACAAGATTGTGCAGCGGTATGCATAATAGTACCGGTACACGACCGGCGGATGAGCTACCAGTAAGTTTACGTGCATCCTGGTAGCTGTGTCATGCGGTTTTCGGCCAAGCGGTTCGTGGAGCGTGATTAGAAGCGGTTAGGGTTACCAGTAAAACACTTAAATAAATACTGGTACGTGTACCAGGTGGCACTCGAGTATTAATAGTACATATATTATATGTTGTGCACTGTTTGTACCGGTTAGTGTTTACTTAAAAGTGCGTTCACCTGTTTATTAATACAAATCCGTACCTTGCGGTAAGCCACGTTTTACACCAAAAATATTCCTTGTAACCATATGAGGAACTGGTGAAACCCGCTTAAACAAAGGTGTAAAATGGCATAAACTAATACTTTTTACTATTGACTTTTATTGTACGAGTTTTTTAGTATAGCCCCGTGCCCTGCATGTTCGTGGAACCTCCTTCCACCAAATAAAACTAAATGAAAGAAAAAAGTCAAAGAAGTGAGTGGATTTGACGACCCCTAGCTAGCTAGTCTAGTAGGCTTTTCCTAGTGATTCGATTCGATTCAAACATCATACCCTCGAGGATCGAGGACGAGGACAAACGAACGAACGAACCAACGAACCAACGAACCAATGGTCCAAGAGCACTGGCTGAGAATCGAATCAGATATCAGAGGATCCTTTTAAAATCGACTACACCACACCCCAATACAGCACATGTGCTCGGAATGCACGCAATGCACGCAATGCACGCAATGCACAGGACCAACAAGGGCTTGTGGCTGGAGTTTCAGAGTTGAGTTGCAGCCAGCCAGCTGATAGCTCAAGACATCTCACAGTGAGTTGCGTCAAGCCGAGCAGGTCAGCAGCAAGCCAAATTGAGACAAGCAAAGAAAGACAATCTGTCTTGTTTCCGGGAACTTCCTCCACCAAGAAAGCGATGGCAAATAAGGGAGGGTCGGCAACAATCAGTCTTGAGGATCTGCAAGATCCGTTTGTAGAAAACTAGAAAAGAAGTATGTTGACAGGATGACAACACTCCTCACCATACTCACAATTCTCACTTTCTGAGCCCGGCTGGACTAGATTGAGAAAACGGTCTTGAGGATCCGGTGGTGAAAGCAAAAAGGAGGTTCATTGATGGCCGCGGGGGCAGTGGATGCAGAAGGCCATGTCCAGGAAAGCGAACGATGCCTACCACTAGACTACTGCTAAGAACGGTAGTCTAGCTGCCGCAGCAACGATACGCTGTACCTTGGTGGCGCTAAACTATCTAGCAAGCAAGCAAAGGGCTTTCAGTCTACAAACGCACAAACAGACTACTAGCTACATGTAGTATGGACCTCATTCATGGTGGTTGGAAGCAGGTGTTCTTGATGACTGTTCGGACTCCCGACAATTAAGGGGGGCACTTGCCATTAATGCATTCCTTTCTCCCAGTACGCCAAAGAGTTCTTTGGGTTCTTTCACAACACGTACATGGTACATGGTACATGTACATGTTAGGATGCGGATGAGAAGGAGAAGGCTCACAAATTTTGACCGCTGCAACAAAACTAGCTTTAAAAAAAAAATTGAAGCACTCCGCCACAACCCCAAACTCCTTTTGTTGTTCTGAACGAAATTTCTCCAAGATGAACCCAAAACAAGAAACCAGGACTTCCTCCAAGAAACATCATGGCGAAAAGCCAATGAAGGACATGAGTTCCTCCAGCAGAGGAGCACCAGCAGCCGCAACGAGAGGCGCTCCAAGAACCGCCATGAAAGGCTCAAGACCAACCAAATGCATCCCCAGGATCTGATTCTCCTTTTGGAAGTACAAGCCTACACTGATCCAGATGGGGCCATGGATTGGCTGAAGCAAATAAAGCAGGCATCCTCTATTCAAGTTCAGCAGCACCAAGAAGTCTCGCAGGGTTCTTCGCACCACCGTGCGAGGTCCTCCAAGGCTGCCTAACGAGTGGTCTTTTGTCGCTTGGATTCCATACTACGTACTATACATTACTTTCATAATAAGTAGACTGCAAGCAAGCCACCAAAAGGGTGTGCTGAGCTGGTTCATAACAAACAAACATAGATCAACAAACAAAAGAATTGCCATGGTGATTGATCGTTCTATTAGACTAGACTACGTGCAGCACAAAGCAAGAGACTTAGGCTATGCCAACAACCGGGGACTGCTATTAGCACAATCAGCTCAGCTCACTTCTGGTGCTCTTGCGTACCGTAGTTGGTGCAGTAGCTAGCTACTAGACATTCAGCGACCATGGGGTGAATGATTGAATGGCTTCATCGCTAGCTAGAAGCTTGAAGCGAAAAGGTGAAGACAAAACCGCCTCTTACTAGTACCAACCTGACCTGTGACTTCAGAAGGGGAATCAAAGGTAAGAAAGTATACTAGTATGTATGTAGAGAGAACTGTGGGTACGGTACTAGCTAGCTAGCTAGTAGCTGGACTCCAGTTTCTACAGCTCGCTCTGGCTTCATCACTACTCTAGCTAGCTAGTACAAAGACGCTCACTGGGCCGTATCTTTGAGTCTGACGCAACGGCACCAGGTTCCACGCAGCGAGAACAAAAGTTTCGCTGCTTTCATTTTTGACCCTCGCCGATTCGATTCGATCTACCGGTATCTGCTGTTCTGTTCTGGATTGAGAAAGCAGAGCAACCAGCTTCAGATCAATTGAATAGTGTACAAGTAGAAGGTAGTCTACTACGGTACGGTAGTAAGTGGTGATGGGACGAAAGCAAAAAGCTCCCAAGAAGCTGAGTCTCGATGAAACGGGATCTGTGTTTGAGTATCTTTGGAATCCTGGAGACAAAGTTTCCACGCCACGCAAAGAAGACAATGCGGATCAAGGCAGCACACTCTTGGGGCGACTATGGGCTGCAGCGGATGCCTTGACTGATGACGCTGCTGCTCCACCACTACGGAAACCAACGAAATCGTCCAAGAAGAAGAAATCCGTGGACACAAGTACCACGAACACGAACACGACGAGCAATGACGAACCGTTGGAACTCCAAGTAGCGCCTGGAACGAACCCTCAAGGACAAGAAATTCCAGGATCTGCCTTGATTGTGTATTATGTACACACTAGTACTAATACAAGCAGTAGAAGACGGGAGGATTCGGCAGAGGTTCACTTGAAGCAATGGCAGCTCGGTCCTGCTGTTCAATTGAGGACCTTGACTGCAAGAAACTGTCAAGGGCAGCAAATGGGCGAAATGCTGCCAGCGCAACTTCCAATTCGTGTCTTGACTTTCCAGGGGGCCTTGGAATTGCTGCACTTGTGCTGTGCCACAACAAAACTCAAACGGGGAGAAACTGCAATGGCATCCACCGGGGATTCTTGTCAGCACTTGGCTCACGCCGTGGAGAAACGCTTGTTTCTATTGATCATTCATCAGAAGAAGGAATCAACACCAACCTACACCGTATCCCTTTCACTCACAGACTTTGCCTTTGACACGTGTCATCCAGCCAAATTATCAGTCCGGGAAACCTCTCATACCAAAGCATTCCAACTCGCGCACTGCCTCAATCAATCTCTCATGGCTTTATTCCCAAAACAAACGGAACTATTACCATTGTCACAAAAGTCAAGAGACAACACTTCTTCTGCCCCATTTATCAATGCCAAGGATGTGTACGCATTGGTCGATAATGTCAAACTCAAACACATCATGAACCGAAAAAAGCCACCTCCAGGCAGTCCTCAAGAAGAACCATTGACCGTGCCAGGATTGAAACCAAAATTACGACCGTACCAGGAAGCGGCAGTCCAGTGGATGCTCCAACGAGAAAAAGGAGAAAGTGGATCCAATACTGCTGCTGCTGCAGCTGCCAATCAAAACAATGGAAGGGAATGGGAATTGGCATGGGTCATTGTCACTACATCATGTACGACAACATCAACATGTACGACATCAACAACAGCCGTCAACAATCATACATACCCTATGGCACGGCTGTATAGTCTACCGGAATATATGCAACAATTTCCACTTCGACAACGACAGACGGAGGATCCTTCCAAACATTTTTTATTTTGCCCATTCACCGGATGGCTAGCCGACTCGGTCAAGGATGCCATGGACATGACACTACCGGTACGCAGTCTACCTATTCCGGACAAACCATATACGGAAGCAAAAGGAGGAATTTTGGCAGAGAGCATGGGACTGGGGAAAACGGTGGAAGTGCTGGCAGTCATTTTGGCAAATCCACATCCCAGCTATCCACGAAATAATAATACTGTGGTAGTATCCTCTTCGTCCTCCTCTTTGGCGCCCTCGGAGGAATCGTCGTCGCAAGTCACGGACAGTCAAGAAACCGGGGATAGCACACAAAGCAAACATGGCAACAATCAGAATAATCCACCATTGGGGGAACCTCTTGGGACGCAAAAGCGGAGACGAATTATAAAGGACTCTACCAAACAATCTACCCACAGTTTGGACTCTGCAGACGATATTAGCGACGATGATGATACATGCAGTGATGACTCCTTGCCCATTGCACAGCTCAAAAACAAAAATCAGAGTGCTAAAGAGGCGACAAGCATTTTGTCACGTGAGCAAAGCCGTTGCTCGAACAATGATGACGACACCGACACTGAAATCGTTGTTGAAACACCTACGAGCCTCGAGGAGCGATGGATATGTACGGGGAATGGGGAGATTGGATCCTGTATTTGTGGAAGATCCATATCGTTTGTCCCCGAAATGCCTCCTGAAGATTCGGTTGTCGTCTGCCAAGGGTGCCGTGAGCCCATGCATTGGACATGTGCCGCATTCGGCAAGGAACGGAAACAGCTTGCTACCATGAACCGTGGAGTCTTGTTCCGTCACAAGCTCTCGAAAGATGGTTTTTGGTGCCGACTTTGTCCCGAAACATTTTGTCCCTGCTGTGTTGGAAGCGCTGATTCGGGGACAAATGACAAGCTTCAAAGTAGGGCAACAGTGATTGTAGCCCCTGCTGCAATTCTGAGCCAGTGGGAGCGTGAGATCAAAATGCATGTTCGAGATCCCATCAAAGTCGTCGTCTACTCTGGTGTGAAGATTCTCATGAACGAGCAACAACAACGACGGAAGAAAGGCGGACACGAAGCCTTTCAATTCGTCCACCCTCGGCTACTGGCAGACAATGACTTGATTCTGACTTCCTTTGAAACTCTGCAACAGGATCTTGGGCATAGCGACAAAAATCCTTTTGCGTCAGGGAGGGCATCGCTGCGAAAGAGAAAACGTTACCGGGTTGTGCCTTCGCCGCTCTCAACTATTTCGTGGTGGCGCGTTTGCCTCGACGAAGCACAACGTGTGGAGACCCCAACTGCTGGGTCTGCACAAATGGCTCTCAAGCTTGACACTGGACATCGATGGGCAGTCAGTGGAACTCCGGTTGGTCGAGGCAAACTAGAAGGTAGGGCGTTCCGCGCATGTGTCTTCTCCAAGTGCAATTGTTTGTTCATCTTTTCACATTTCGTTTCCTTTTGTTCAAACTACGGCAGATCTATTCGGGTTGCTGGTGTTTCTGAGGTCAACTCCCCCTTTCAATGACTGGAATTGGTTTCGGATTTGCTTCCCATCGTCTGGTGGGGCCGGCTGGAAAAGTAGGTTGAGGCTCCTTCTAGGGTCGGTCTTTTGGCGTTCCACAAAGTCGAACGAGCTTGTCGCAGAACAGATGGCGGTGCCTCCACAAATAGAAAAGAAAAATCTACTCAAGGTGAGCTGGGCGTGTATCACGATGGAGCACGTCTATTCGTTCTTGTTTTTCTCACTATATTTGCTTCTTCACGCCAATGTAAGTTTTCAAGTATCGAGCGTCATTTCTATATGACCCAACTGGATAAGACTTTGCAAATCGCCGGAGATCTCCAAAGCAAAACAAAGCCAAAGGATGGTGCTCCCTTCACCAAGAGACCTCGAGGTACCAAAAGCTTGGAATTGCTTGCTACCGAGATGCACAATCTGCGTGCTGCTTGTTGCCATCCACAAGTAGGCTCAAGTGGATTGGCGCTGGGAAAACGATCCCGAACACACGGCAGCGTCAAGGTCTTGACAATGACGCAGGTCTTGGATCGGTTGATTTACGGTGCCAAGAACCAATGCGAGGAAGCACTCCGCGTATCCATTTTTCATTCCAATGCAATCGCGGGGATTGCAAGGCTCAAAGTGGACGCAAAGCGATACCACCACATTTCAATAGCAGAGCACGACGATTTTCTCTGGGCAGAGAGCTGTAAGCTGTACCAAGATGCGCTTGACCTTGTCGACAAAAACGCATCGCCGAGTCTCGCAACCGGAGAAGCCTTGCTTACAGGCAGTCGTGGCTTTCGTTCCAACCAAAAGCAAAGTCACGGGGGGAAGGCCGTGCTGGACTGGCAGATCCAGCAACATGAAACTGCCCGTGCAAACCAAAGAAGTGGCGAAGTCAAACATCTCTTTGCAAACTTTGAATTCGACGAGCCAAGGAAGATGCGGCAAATTCGAGTCCGATCAAAAGCAGAGCTCACCGACGAGTCAAGTTGGACCCTGAGATATCCCAAAAGCTGTGCTTTGCAAGTTTCTAGCAAGACAGGCGACGAGTTTATGGACATTCTCTTGTTTGAAATCCCGGAGCCAGACCCTGCATGTGATCCTAATAGTCACTGGATTGTCCATGGAGGGGCTTGGGTGCAAAGATCGAAAAACTGGCGTTTAGTTGTGAGGAGTTTCCATCCTCTCACTGTGGCGTCGAACGACGATGCAGGGTCCCCAATGGATGAATACATTGCTTTGGAATTCGAGCTCTACGAGCCCAACGTGGCAAGCGACTCACTGCAGAGGCTCCACACGTTGCACAATGCGATAATCTCCTTCCGCGGTTGGTTGGCTGCTCCCTGTCAGACAGAGAAGTCACGTCTTCCCATTTCACTTTCAGCAACCGAAGCAAACGAGAAATTGGGAGCTATGCAAAGCCAAATCGTTGAGATTGAACGACACCAGTTGGACTACATCCGTGGTCTACGCGAAACGTGTCTTTCTCGGTTCAAAGCCTTGACGGACTCACGGCGACGTCTTGAGAACGAACTCGTGAAGCTTTGGATGGTGCTCTCGAAAGAGAAGCCGGCTGGTTTCTGGGATGTATGCTGGTGGGACTTTGTCATTTCGACGGCAAAATTCTGCTCAGCTGAGCAACAACTGTCCTTGCTGGAGAAGGTAAACGAGGCTGTCGAAGCATCCAAGCTCTACTACTCTGGGGATCGGTAAGCTCTGCTGGCACCAGTCACGATCTTCTTGCTCTCTTGACTCACGCTAATTGCCTCTTCAATCCTTTTTGTCCCCAAGGCAAGACGCGCTGCCAGAATTTCGGTCCATTGATGAATTGCTTCTGTTCACCAAGACTCGGTTCGAAACAATCCTCGAAGGGATGCAAAAGGGGATGTATGACAAGTTCATTCAAAAGACGACGGACCTTTCGCCAAACCCAACCAGAGAGGAGGTGCTGGAAAACAAGTATTGCCAAGTCTGTAAAGCAGAATGGTACTGTAGACCAACGCGAAGAATTTGTCGCATTAACATTCGCTGCAAAGTGGGAGGTGAGCTAACGTTTTTGGTTTCTTTATGACAGGTATCAAACTGGGGAGAAATGTCGCCACTGCGTCTTGGAAGAAAATTTGATGAAGATTCAGTGCGAAGAGGAAAAGATTGTGAGAAACATTTTGACTGCCATCTTCAAGTGGTTGCGAACACAAACTAGTACCAATCGGAAAGCAACCAATGCATCAAGCCCGTTAAAGGATGCTGCTGCCGTGGCTGCCAAGTTCTTTGAAGCGCACGAGGTTTCAATGAAGGAAATCCTTGCGGCCAAGCGGTCTTGGCGTGTCCATCTCGACTTTTTGAATATCATCGATGAGCTCGAAGCATGCAAGACGTCAATGAGACTGATGAACGAGGGCGAAGATATCCGTGAAATGTCAGAAGAACAGCAAGGCCTTCTGGTGGTTCCCGTTGACATCCAAGCCAAGTATTACGAACATGACACGAAGAAAGCGATGGCCGAAGGCAACCTGAGGCGACAAAAGGATGCTCTTAGTTTTCTAAAGAGGCAGAGTATCGAACAGGAGGAGCATGCCAGCGATGACGATCAGTGCCCGGTTTGCTACAACTCTTACACTAGTGATAGAGCGGTTCTGGCTTGCGGGCATTCGTTCTGTCGCTCCTGCGCGGATCATCTGAAGAAGCCTTCAGGTCTCATCAAATGCCTGTACCGGTGCACTATCACAACCAGGTACGAGGACATCCTGACGGCATCGAACCAACGTGGCGACGATGGCAGTCGCGCCCTTCGGAGAGTCAAGGGGTCTTGGGGGACAAAGGTGACCGCCATTGTTGCGGACTTGCTTTCCTTTCGCGACAAGGATGAGAAGAGCATTGTGTTCAGCATGTGGGAAGACATGCTTGATATTGTCCAAGAAGCATTGACTGCGAACGAAGTGAAATACGTTCGCGCCTCGAGTTTGCGTCAGCTTGGAAAGTCGACACAGAAGTTTCAGTCTTCTGACGTGCTTCTGCTCAACGTGAAGAATGGTGCCGAAGGGTTGAATCTCATCGAGGCAACCCACGTGCTCATGATTGAACCGCTCTTGAATTCGGGTCTGGACAGCCAAGGTACGTTATCGGACTTGGACTTGACTATCCAAGAGAGCAACCGCCTAACTTTATCCTCTTCTGATTGTCTGATGCGTGACCATGGCAGCTGCAGCAAGGAATCACCGGATTGGCCAGACTCGACAGACCTTTTTGCATCGGTACATTGTGGAGGACACGGTTGAGGTTGGAATTGACAAACACAGAGAGCAACACCAGAGGCAAGATGAGATTGAAGATGCCATCAGTGGCTGCCGAAAAGCTTCCATAAACGCTGGTGGCATCGATGGTGGCTTTTCAAGCAAGGAAGAGTTGATGAGCATCTTGGGAAAAATCGGGTCCTAAACTCTAGCTAGCATAGTGAATCAATGGGGGTTTAGAGTAGGAAATTATCTGCGGAAGCCAGCCGGGGCCAGGCTTAAGCAAAGAATGATCGAATGATTGAATCGATAGAAAGGAGCTATCTTGATAGCGCACTACAACTAATGCATACTGGACCGCCATGGGAAAAGGTGAACTACTAGGAAGAGGAATGAAGTCCTGATAATCTATCTACCTGCACTAAACGTTCATCTTTCCTCTTGTAGTGTTAGGAAGCCCTGCATGATGGACACGCCACCCTTACAGCTCCGCAGGCCATGAAGGTATGTTTTGGGCTTCTCGTCCGAAAGGCCACATAGCGAACTTTCATATCACGTCGTCGTCCTGAATTTTGTTGAGCAATCTAATCATATCATGCAACAACAGCAACAGCAGCAACAACAACAACAATAGCAATGGAAGTGTACATGGGGGTAGGTCACGAGGGGGAAGAGGATGGGTATCTGGTGTTGAAGCGAAATCGTTTGGTGTACTATTAAGCTGGCTATTTTGATGAGGACACCGAGCATCAAAAGGAAGACCAGATTCTCATCACGAGTGGCAACACTCGCATTCCCTTTCATTCCATTGTGGATCACACGAGCACTACAAGTACGAGCCAGGAAGAAGATGAATTCTTGCTTTCCATAACCAACTATGATGGAGAAACCTTTGTGTTTCAAATGGAAACCCAGGAGGATTTGCATAGTATTCAAGACTCTATATCCAAGGTGGTTGCCAAGGCTGCAAGAGCCAGTGAAGCTTGTCGATGTGAACCCCCCAACCTGGTTGTGGCCATGATGGACGAATCCCACACCACTTGCAGTCATGAAGACATGGAACAAGTACGAGAAATGACACGGCAAATGGATCGACAAGCCAAGCGACGACGATCCAGGAGATCTTTTGCTAGCACTGCAGTGGGAGCCACTTCGGTACATGAAGCTGCTGCAGTCCATCCTCGAAAAGCCACTCATCCTTCCTTTCCATCTGAAAAGTTTCGTCGTTCGGCGGCACCACAACGAACGGCACCACCTCATCTTGTTGTGGAAGCAGCAATGCCACCACCGGCAGAAATAGAAGACAGCAGTAAGCCACCTGGGGCCTATAGGGATCCTGGGCCGCCCATTGGATTACCTCTTCCACAGCAGAGTTCACCACCCATTATTATAGACTATGAGGAGGAAGAGCCACAACTATCCAACCACCAAGAGGATCCCTTGATTGAAGCTTCCTTGGTTCCAGATGACGATGAAGAAGACCAACGGCACTATGAGTTCCAGGATGAACGCGTGGTGTTGGTGCAAGCCCACAGGGCGGGCCTCTCGGACTACTTGCAAAACAGAAACCTCCAAATATTCATTGTGGGCCTCATTTGCCTCTTTGCCATCATCATTATTGTTACAGTCTTGGCTGTTGTCTTGGCCACCGGCAATCAAGGAGGCGGAGAAACCAACACACCCGCACCAAACACAACAGTGGCACCCATTCCTACGGTAACTTCCAGCCCCACAATGGCTCCCACCAACACCAACACCACTCCTCCACATGCAACCACCAGCAACTACACTCCTGTTTCCCTGTCACCAACACCCACGCCACTTGACATTGACGCCCTGTTGCGCGAGTGCAACTTGTCGGCTGCCATTATAAGTAGTCCCCTGGACGTGGACTCATACCAATCAGCAGGTTGTTTTGTGGATGTCGACACCCTCGACTTGGATCAGCTCACCTGTGGTCCCGGCCAGGCACCTTTGGAATGCAGTCTCCGCTGCCCAACACGCTTCTTTGGAATTCCCATTGGCACAACCACATGTCGATGCTTTTCCCAAATCAAGAGTGACCGTATTGGTCTGCAAGAGTGCATTCCTGGTAGTGGCAATATGGATCTCTTTGTCAATCAGTCTCCTCGCAGAACGCAGTGTGAGGATCCAATGGCCCGAGCCGTGGTGGAGTTTCTATTGCAGCAAAGAAGCCATGCCACCTGGGGCTTTGACATTGTCACAAACCAATGGAAAGAAAGCCCCTTTGAGCTGTACGCTAAAGGATGCCATACCAATGTCTACGATGTGACGGTCCTCGATGAGGAGGAGGAAGCAACATCAACGCGGGAAACATCTGTTATGGATGTGACCAATTATGCCACACAACGACGCGGTGAACGTTCAGTTTCCATTCTCTATGAGGAAACGAGTGAAATCTCTGTCCTGGCAGAGCAAATGGAGATTTTGGCCAAACAAGTCAGTGGTGTGGCTGACCCACTGCAATGCAATATATTTTTCTATTTGTGGGATGACGATCCCCACAGCAAGGTATTCACCACGTCGGCAGTGAAACGATTGGCCAAGGTGGAGGTCACAAACTTTTCAGAAAAGACCAGTTTTGCAACCTTCTCACCTTCTTTTCGGCAGAGTCTTCTCATGTACTTGTACAGTGGATTTCAGAAAGAAATGGCATTCGATATCTTTGATCGCTATGGTTCCTTCGCCGTGGTGCGGTCCATGATGGGAGCCTTCATGGAGCTCCGTTTGCCACTCGAAAGCAGTCAATATGACAACACATTTGACAGCATTGTGCATGCCCAATCTTGTTTTGAGATTGCTACACAAGAGGAGGCCAGTAGACTTGGCTTTCCGAGTGCCTCAGGCACCATTGATGACACCACCTGTTCTCCCAACATTATTCGGGCATTGCAAGAGTTGCGATCTGAGTATCACAACTTAATGGATGAGCCGGCGACTGTTGGCGGGGAAACAGAATGCCAGCTCAATGCCACCGAATGTCATTTCAGTGTGGACATTTCGACTTCACAACCCCTTACTGCCAAGGACAAATATCCATTTGGTGATTTTGGTGGCTATCAGCTTCGCCCTCTCAGTGATTTTTTGAGCCCCGCCAGAGTTTCTCCCTTGGAGTTTGCTCAAATGCAAGTCACCAGCGAAACCTCAAGGCTCACACGGTCGAATATCTGCGAGAGACCCTAGAGAAGCTAGAATCTTGTGACTGCGAGGAATCTGACTATCCATCGTACATCGAAACATTTGACTGGGTCCAATTCTGCCCAACGAGGACGTGCCGGGCCCAGGGTTCGGGACATGTTGAAGGGGCAGGGCAAGTAGGACGTGATGATACTCCTGCCAACGAGTCGTCCATTACCTTGACACGCCCACCCACCAATGAGTCAACGACACAATCTCCTACTTCATCGGTGGAATCTACTCTCCCTCCCATGTTGCCTCCTCCTGGTTCTGCTTCTGACTCTCCAGTGACTGACATCCCTGAAACTATCCCTCCAGATACCAATATTCCAACCATGGCAGGTACTGCACTGCCAGGCACGGCAATGCCCACCACTACTCCTCCAGGTTGCAATGGTGTACCACATGAGACTCTTTTGAATCTGACCACCCCAACTGATGCAGGCTCGAGTGATGGAGACACCTTTTGTGAGGACCTACTCGGTATCGCGTGCATGGAAGGAGCAGGGTTTCAAACCTTCAACAGTTTCCAGGGATTGACGTCCCAATGGTTCCAAGCAGAAGCAACAGTTGGTTCTCGCTGCAACCGCGATATCAAACATCGTGTAACCTTGGAAGTTCCAGAAGGGGTCAACTATGACTTGAAAGTGTATCAAGGGACGCAGACAAACTTGTATGATTCCTCCACACATGGTGGAGGAATCGTGGATGATGTTACCATTGTCATGAGGAATGCTGGATATTCCTACTTTGTGTTTGTTGAGTTTGTGGGAGGATCATCTTGTCAACCATGGACTCTAACATTCGAGCACTTCTCATGCTAAGTAAAGTGTACAGAAAGCGGCAGGACGATCGAGATCACAATAACTCAAAGACGTACTTTAGTATTCCTGCCTCATTCCATGGCTTCCTCTCTTGCTGTTGTTTGAGGCAAGTAAGGCCTCTGTCAATCGTCTCCTAGAAGAGGAGGGGTCACTATTGGCAGTGTAGAGTGATATTGCCGCCTTTGTTGTTGCACTGAATCCAGGAATTTGAAGTCTTGTACCAGTTACATGAAGGGTGCTGACTGCCTTAGCTTGGGGAAACACAACGGATACCCCCAGTAACCTTGATAGGGGCCTAGGAAATTACATTTGGGAGTACTGAAATAATGTAGACTGGGTACGAGGTCTGGAACCTGTTTCTTGCACCATGGTGCCGGGAAGTGCTTGGCTTGTGGGATAATGCCATAGAGTGGTAGATAGTCAGTCAAGAAGAGCCAATGAATCTTCACATTACACACTGTCTAGTTGAAGGATGGATGGATTAGTGAAAAGTGAAAAGACGGATCTCCTCAGCTCTTCGTGTCGCTTCGAGTCTAGCTAGTTGTTAGTTCAATGCAACGACGGAGGCATGAAAATTGAATCGAATCGAATCGGAAGGGCAAAATGTGGTACCGGTCAAGATACACGGCTCGGCTCGCTCAAACGGAAGCAGAACTCGAATGCCGGTTCCGTTGCCAGTATCTTCCAGGCATGACTGAGGAAATCGCTATCTTTTCCGTGCGGTGCCGATAGACAAGACAATGGCGTTCGATCCATTCCCAGCTACCGATCTCCGTAACCAGAAAGATTGACAAGAAGATAGCTCCTGTAACTTATAGATAACACTCACGTTGATAGGTGGATGACTTGGTTTGAATGTAAACAGTCTAGAAGTTGATGCGATTTCCCCTTTTGACTGAGCGAGTTCGCGATAACAAACTCCAACAAACTATTATAATAAGATCTCTGTGTTTCCGTAGCGCAACGATCGCCGTAATTTGTAGCAGTCGCAATCCTACCATTTTCCCAGTGTCATGGAAAAGTTTGACCAGGGCCGAGTAACATACTCGCAGGCCTACGGTCGAGATGACCCCCCTACCGGTAGCCAGCCCAAACTGGCTGTTCCCGTCACAGTTCCACACACCCTGGTCTGGAAGGGCCTAGGCCTCAGAAGCTTCAATCTCAAACAATATTCTCCTGGTGATCTTGCAAACATTGCATTCTCCTGTTTGCTACCGTACGAGTTAGCGAATACACCAGAACTCAGAGATTCCAAGTAAAAGATGTCATCTTTAGTAGGGCCAACCAATCCATCATTCCTCCTACTGCTCCTCTCAATGAGCTCCTCACTGCCACTCATGCCACTTTACGCATATCCAATCGAAAGAATGGTCAATGTGGCCAATGCATGCATCACCGCTGCACTGGCACTATTACACGCCCCATCAAACCTTTAGCATGCCCGGTTTCACTCATCATGGCACACACTACCAACCTCAATACTGCACTCAGCACCTACTTCGAACTTGGACAAACCAAACAGGTCCTAAGTGCCTCAGATGTGGAGCAGATCACGAAGCAGAGGAGCATGTGTATCGCTGTTCTCACGTGGGTGTGGACCTCCTTTTTCTATGAAGTGGAATCCATTTGGCGTGCCGAAAGATATTGCGGCAGGGCATCAGATTACCCAGAACTCTGCGGTATCTGCACAACAATCAACCGACTGGGTCACATGATCAAGCAGAACCGGCACTGGGATGAGGATACGCCAGAATTGATAGATTGGGTGCCGCACGGAAGGGCAGTCAACCGGCACGAGGCCCACAAGCCAACCATCGTGAAGTTTCTATTCCAGCTGCTGCCGGTGGGAAACCTGGTACACAGGGACAATCCCAAGTATGACCACAAGTGCCCAAGGTGTGGCTGTGACTGCGAATCCGAGGATCATGTCTACAGGTGCCCGCATGTTGATGTGGAACTGTGGCGGGAGACCATGCAGCGTGCCATCAGCACGATGCTTCGTAAGGTGGGCACGGATCCAGTTCTACTGGAGATCGTTCTCGATGGCCTACAGTCCCATTTCGAAGATCGGTTCCTGCATCCCTGGCACTACCCCGACAGGTACCGGGACCTGGTTAACGCTCAGACCTTGATAGGGTGGGACAACCTTTTGCGGGGACGATTGGCCAAGCAATGGGCCAAGCACCAGGATGCATACTTGCATCGGGTCAGTGCCGAGGAGACTTCCAAAACAGGACAGCTTTGGGTCATCAACCTGGCTTCGCTGCTCATCCAGCAGTGGGAACCTTTGGGAAGACTGCAATGCTGCCAGGCATGGCAGAGACAAGGAGGAACAATGGAAAAAGAAGCACGAGCAGCTTCAACGGGAGGTGGAGCTCATTTATGAGAAGGCAGATCTGATTCCATAGTCGCTGGTCGATTTCATCTTCAAGCGTCCTCTTGATGAGCAAATGGCCCGGGTGACATTTTAATTTAAAGAGTGGCTAGCCAATTGGCTGCTCTTTGTCGACAAGGCAATCAGAGAAGAGCTCGCACGCAAAGTGCAGAACAGTGAAACAGGGTGTTTGACTGTAGAAATAGATGGTGACATGGTGACGGCAGTCCCCTTTCTGGTTACCAGTGATGGAGCAGCTGATATCACCGCTGGTAAAGCCAGTTTTGCATGGGTTTTGGCTGCAATAATCAGTTGGGCCACATCGTGGTCAGATGGGCTGGACCTGTGTTTGGGTTGATCCCAACGTCGTATCGAGCTGAGGTTTATGGAATCCTGTCACCAGCCTGCTGTTGAAGCGACTACTGCAGTACTACTCCCAAACGAATTTGGCGCCATACACTCACCCGTGTGACAACAAAAATCAATCATACTGCGTCACTGGCCCCAACGTACGACTGTATTTCCTGTGCAGTGTTTGCAGTGTTTTTTTAAAAAAAAGATGCCTAACTAATAGCTAAAAATGAGGTTGTGCCTACTGGTATCATAACTTAAAAATTGTAGTACATGTATGTCATAGTACCGGTAGGAGGACGTGGAAGACAAGTAAGTTTGGAAACTTTTGTATGCGGTACGGTGCGGTACGCTAGGCTAGCCTGTCAAAAACAAAGCAAAGCAAAGCCACCAAAAGAGGTTTGATGATTGCCATTCCTTGCTGTTTGCTGTTGCATTGGCTGGCTCATTCGTTCATATTCGTCGTGTCGTGTCATGTGTTTGTATGCATGCTTGTGTGCATTAGTTTCTGGATCGTAGTCCATGTTTGTCATGATAAAAGGAGATGGCGAGACTAAAGTCCTTGACAATATCGGCATCATACTGTGGAAATGCCTTTGCCAATTTCTCAGCCCTGGAAGTCATGACCATTTGCGTGTACGGCCGAGCGCCCAGGTTATCAATTTGGGATCTGTGGTTGTCATACAATACAATATTGGTCAGCAAACACAAACACACAAACACAACTACAACTTATTGATAGTATACGTACCTCGTGTACTGCAGACACAATAGAACAAATGAGATTTGTCCCAAGGGCGGTTCCATCCAATTCCATGCCCAACTTCCCACTTCCAGAGGTGTTTCTAGATCTTTAGGTTCTGGGACATCTGCTGTGACGTAGAATTCGTTAAACCAAGTAACGGTATTGATATCAAATACCATGGGAAAGGATCCCAGGGCCGCCGTCAATGCGACTCCAATTCCAATTTTATAGGGTATCGTCAACCAGCCCATGCCTTGTCGATTCACAGCCGCAATTTGCAATGCCGTTTCCTTGGCCGTTTCATAAGTGACCTTGTCTACCGTCATAATGTGTCTGGTGAGAATTTCCTTGCGTGCATCCACATTGCCCATGTGACCCAATAAGACCAATTCCGAATTTTCCATTTCCTTGCACGAAAGTGGCATGGCTTTGGCAACGGCCATACTAGGAGGAGCTCGACTCGCAGCGTGGAGGTTCTTAAGAGTGCGATTCTTAGTAGGGCGAGCTTTCGTACGCGACGAAGTGGCCAAAGAGCGTGTGCAGTGGAGACTTCCAATCATGACGGAACGAAGACCACCTCCTCTCTGAAGGATGCCCAGCGCATGCTTGCTTGTATGCATACCACTAGTAATAGTAAGCATTGCAGCAACGTTCATGGTCCTGTCTGTCTTTTTGTTTGTTCTGCTATAATAAGGAGTAAGTAAGACTATCAGATTATGGAGTCAGCCGTTGCTTTATGGGCGATCTTCTTCCAGTTCGGAACAAAGATACTGTAGATCAATCAAGAAGCTTCCCCAGGAAGATATCTTTAGAAGCGTGGTTGCGGTAAATAAAGGGTTAAAGCTATAAACTACATAGAAAGTCAGATAAGAAATCCATTTTACCAGAACTACCTTCAAATCAACTGCCGGATCTTTTCAAGTTCACGACGTCAGCGGAAGATACAAAACATCAGCTCTGCAGACTCCCAAAGTCACGGTCATTCTATCTTGACAAAAGATCTTTCAACTTGAAACGAGAAAGCAAAGCAGCACAAACACAAAACGGGAAAAGGGTAGCATTTGTCATCGGTATAGCATCATTGCAGTATCTGAAGCAAGTGTGCAAGCGAAGCGAAGATGCCCAAAGAGCTGTATTACAAGAAAAGGAAGAAGACCAAACATGACGATGCTACTAGTAGTGATGAGCATAGCTGTACATGCTGTAGCTGTAAAAGCAAGAAATCGTTGGTCTTCAAGTTGTTGATGGTGGTGGTCTTGGTCGTTCCGCTGCCATTTTTGGGGTTGGGGTTTTTTCTAGGCTGGGGGCCTTTTCAGGAAGCATTTCTGCAATCCATTACTACTATTACCACTGCTTCTTCTAGTAGTAGTAAAACCAAGTTGGTGCTGCCCATGCCCACCAATGATTTGATCCACCAAGCCATGGCATTTGTTCAATCCCGCGAACAAGCTTATGACAACGACCAAATCCATGCCCGTTGGAAGATGCGAGGACACGGCCATTTGTACCATTATCACAATCTCACATTGGCTGCCTTTCTACATACACAACAAGAAGAAACGGCAGTTTATATTTTCAATGTCCATCCTGCCACTTCACACTCTTTTCAAGACTGTCACTTGCTCTCCTTGTGGGCCAGAGTCAATGGACCGGAAGTATGGGCTGGAAAACCACAGCCCATCAATATTACTACAAGTACAAGTACAAGTACTACCAATGGCAATACCAATAAGTACAAGTGCTACTGGAAATTCCAATTTGGATTTGGAAAGCATTCATTGCTGCCTGGAAATTACAGGGTCGATGTCAAACTCGTGCAATGGAATGGCATGGCACCGGTACATCTCTACGACACATACGAACAATCACCCGAATTGAATGGTCAAACGTCCCAATGCGCGGACGTTCATCAAGGACAATTCATTTCCCAACAAGCCTATCAAACGGCTCCCTTCAACACCAGTCTCATGGGATTCAAACTATATACTCCACTCTCGGGATGTTGCGAAATGTGTCGACGGACTCCCTTTTGTCGATATTGGGCCACACCACCGCATCAATTGCCACGGCCAAACATGGCCGAAAATGGATGCGAATTGTTCTTGACAAATACAATTACCACTACCACAACTACGACTACTACTGCCAATTGGATACATGTACTGCAATTCAATGAATCGGAGGACGTACCACAACCACATATTCTATACAATATGATTGGACGCCAAAACAGTATCATTGCACAAGAAAAAAGAGAACAAGCGGCCAAAGAAAAAGCCAATAATAATCCACAACTACGACAGCGATCCAGGCGTCGCTTGAATGTCATGACAGCCTGGGGAAGTGTCGACCAAATTAATAATGATCAAGTCGCATACTTTTTGGGATGTGGATGGAGTTTTCATCATACTCTGGAATTCCCATGTCTATCGGCGGATTGGGATGATCAAGTATTCATGACACAATCCGTGCTTTCCATTCCCAATACTGACACCACAGCAACCACAACGACAACGACACCACAACTCCCACTTTGTGAAGCACAGGACGAGTTCGTGACTACCAATACCAACCAATACAGTCTCGCCAATCAACGATATCGGCTCGGAAACACAACCACTTCTGCCGCTGCAGCTGATTCCAGCTTGACGATCATGCCGACTGGTGTGGGACGATGGGTCCGCAAACCCACACCCACCAAGGACGTTTGTCCTATGCCTTACGAAAATTTGGATGGAATATATAGTCAACGCAATCCCATTTCACGACCCGACCCCGATCGACCCGCATGTTGGTATCGCGAAGATCTCACACCAATCAATCAACAATGCAAGGAAATCAATTGTCATCTCATTAAACCGGAGCACAAATGGAATGCATCCACGCTCCAACACGAACGAGACTGGATGGGTGTATGGAACAATTATCATTGTGATTACACAGAATTTACCAATCGACAATTAAACGAGTGCTTTCAAACCCGACAAATTTCCGCCATTGAAGTAGACGGAGCATCCATTGCCGCCATGATGAAGAATTATTTTTTGGCAAGATTGGCCAATGTAACACTGGTACAATCACAACAACAAGGCAGTACTACGAAGCACGTGTGGGTCAAATCCTTGCAATGGCCTCATCTTCTGTGGCAACAAAGTGTGGAAATGTGGGAAACCACGTTGCAAAAGGAACCGGACGCCAAGGAGCACGAAATCATGCTTTGGGTGACACCCTTTTTTGCCAGCAGTGAACGGGAACCCTACGTGCATCTCGAACGAGTCTTGCAATTCATGAATGTCGCCGAACGAATACTGACTCCCAAGGGGTATCAAATGATTAATCTATTTGATCCGTCGGCGGCTTTTACGGTACGTACGTAGTGCTGTGTGCATGGCGTGGCGTGGCGTTGTGCCGGGTGTGCCGAATTGACTTGTTTTGTGCCGATCATTGCTTTAGTATGACACGGGAGGACAAGGGGATGGATTGCATGTTGTGGGGCCGCCCATGAAGGTCGCCGTGACCAAGGTGTTTCATCATTTGTGTTCCAAAGTCGTCAAGGGGACTCGGATCTGAGTATTTAGGCATCGTCAATGATTTCGGTACCGTAGGCCTTCGAATAAACCCGAGAAACTGTTTCTCATCCCAGAAACACAGTTCTGCAATCTCGCCCAGCCCGACAACAGAAGAATGTCCACTCTGCGCAGTGGTACCACTCCCCATTCAATTAAGTTGTGGAATATGACATGGAATTTTTGCCACAGAAAATTCCGCCTTCACACTCCCAATCCACATATACCAGAGACTTCTTGGTGTTGGGATGACTCAACTCAGTCCCAACACTCATCAAGTTTCAACGAAAGGCTCCGGAAGCAATACGGGAGCCCCCCAATGCAATCATTACGAATACTGCAGCAGCTGACTGCCACACGGGGATAATAACCACGACAAGCTAGCTAAGCAAAGCAAAGCAAAGCAGAAACGCGCGATATTGGGATACAAACTCATCATCAGAGCAGCGTCCAAGTCGACAACTTTCAGTGTTTGTCCGGGATCACTGCATGATAGCTGCTGCTGCAACGATTGTGCCTTCAAAAAACTGTGGAGCAGCGTTGTAGTGGGGTGGCTGGCCGTCTACGGTTTCAATACTGATGTTGAGTTGTGGGAGTGGAATTCTGTCCATGAGAGTTGCTAGTTTGCTGCCAGCCGTCAACTTGAATGGCTGGGATTTGCACTGGGTTGGCTGCTTTGGGGAGTGCTTGCTTCCTCGTAGTCATGGAAAGAAGGTTCTCAACAGCGCAGGCTTGAAACTATGCACACATAGGGATCTGGACTTGGAGTGTCTATGCATCTCTCGACGGCGTTGGCTTGAAACTATGATATATACGGAGGGATGTTGACTTGAAGTGTCTATGCACCGCCATCACAATCGCAAACAACAACACAACAATGGACGAAGCTCGTGATCGGTAACACCGACTACTGTTGCTTCTAATAGAACAACAAACGTTTCGGCCTCCGTACCGTACCGCTAGTAGCTAAGCATGCAAACCAAAGAGGAGATGCAGCGACTAACGACATCATGAAGAGGGAGAGTGTTCAAAAGTTCAAGAGAGACAGAGAGGAATAGCTTAGACTTGGAAGTCGACTACTACGAACTGGACCTTGAGGTCATCAGGCTTGCATTCGTCTTTGCCCTCGCAGCCAAGACCACTCTACATTATTATGGATCGTCTTTGACGGCGGACTCGTCCCTTCACTCTGCACCTCCTCAGAGCGAGCTTAGCTCTCCCCCTGCCCACGGCTTGCACCTACCTGCCGCACCCGCGTTCGCACGATGCATGGAGGCAATACTACGTTTACGTTGACCACTGCTGCCCCGTTGACTCACAAACGCGTCGCGTTGTTCTTCTGCGGTGCAGCCTGCAAGAAGCATCATCAAAACTCTTCACGAAGCAAGTATCCAGCATGCTGGATCGTAATGCAATAAGATCCTTGCAATTGTCTGCTTTGCTTCAACTTCGTTTCTCGTCGATCCATCGTGTAGCCACCCGCTTGGGTTATAGGGGCTCGCACCCTTAGTCCTCGTACATTAGTAATCGGGGAAATGCGGTCTGGTGGTGTCGGGCCAGCCAAGAACGAGTCTACAACGCGTTGGACATACCGTATGCAGAACGAAGGAAGGAAAAAGGCGACAATGGCAACCAGACGGCAGCAGCGGAACGGAAACGATTTTCTACGGATCATACATGCGGTGGTGCCTGCAAAGAGTGATCTCATGATTTCGTCGATACGGTATACGCCTACGAGCTACCGTACATGTAGCAAGCCACGGCTCCCAGTGCTCCCACTCTCCGCCAGTGGTGCCTGTCGATCTCCATAGCCGGCTCCGTTCTTGCTCCGTGCTTGTGTAGCGCTAGACCAGAAGCGTGATGTCATCAGGTCCTTTGCAAGGTTGTTCGTTTCTGATCCAGTCGAATGATGAAAGATTCAAACTGCAATGCTTCAAGGTGCTCGGGTGGTGCAAGAGGTGCCACTCATAAAAGTTCATCTCCGCGACCTGCTCTTTCTTTTGTGTACCGGTTGCACCACCGGTAGACCAGAAACGTGAAGTCTTAGTCATCAGTCATCAGGTGATTTGCAAGTTCCTTGGCTTCTGGAGGCGAGAAGAGTCGAGTCATCGGACCCCCACTTCCGGTCGAATCGTCGAATCTTCAAAACGAACAAGTCACAGTCGATGATCGTAAAGCCGTTCGATGTTCGATTGCCAGCAGAAGCTAACTAGAGCTACCAGCTAGCGACTAGAGCTAGAAAACTGCCTTATTGGGGAAGGTCACTAGGCCATGACCGCAGCCATCCATAACGGGACCACAACCTCTAATGCAACCAGCAAGCTACAGGAAGGTGTATGGCGCCATCTACTACATATCCTAGCATTAGCCACGGCATTGACCTTCCTAGCTAGCTAGTGGTAGCCAGCCAACACAACCCGTTACTGGTACCATTGCATACGCCTGCGCCACCCCACCGGAACTACTGCAGGGCTAGAGTGGTGGCCCCACGCAGCAGGAGTGAAATAATTGTTTCGCAACCAGAAGCTAGGTAATGCTTACGATCCGAGCACACGTTCCAATGTGCTCCTGGTGAAGCTTGTCTAATGAGTCATTAACTAGTGGCTGGTCAATTGTCACCTGGTTGACACAAAGAGTTGCTTGGGCGCTGGTAGAACTTCAAAGAAGACTTTTCCGATCCACACAATCTTCCCAGTATTTACGAGTTAATTAAAGGATGACCAACTTGACTAACTCTTTTTTCAAACCAGTACTTTAACTAGTTTGGTCATTATTGAGCCTCAGAGATTCACCAGGTTGCCACAAGAGTCACATGGATTAATAAAACATGCTTCGCAAAAGAGAAGGGATTGTACAAATTTCAATGAGTGTCTGGAAAGATGGGTAAGATCAACAGCTATTACAACTGACCATTATGGCCGTCTTTAAATCTATTAGTGAACCCGTAGGGATGTACGCGAGCATCGTACTGCGGCTACAGGCTACAGTACGAGTACTGTAATGTACCAATGGAAGGATAAAGCGCCAAATCCAAAACTTTTGGTTGTTGTTCTGCTCACAATTCAACAGTCTCAAGATAGACAACCGCAATTGTCCTCACCCAAGCAAAAGTTAACCTACCTACTTACAAACTACCCAAGATGAAGTACACCACTGCTGCTACCCTCCTCCTCCTCACCCAAGGAGCCTATGGCTTGTTCCGTGATCAGAGCACCAAGAAGGATCCTTCCCAGTCGCTGCGTAAACTGGAAGAGGGAATGGTTTGTGAGCTTGACCATACCTTGGCTAGATCTGCCGACACTGAAGTCAGTGTCTACGTGAGGTCCTACCCAGGAGACGGAGAAGGGCTCTTTGACATCACCGTGAGCAAGCAGCCTTGGGCACCTCCAGGTGGCAGTGTGACAAATCCTGGTTGGTGTGTTGATTACGACCGTTTCATTAGTACTGGTACCTACAGCATGGATATCTTTAGTGCATTTGACTCTCAGCTGCACTACCATAACAATGATCCCAACAAGCGTGCCGTCGATAAGCGCGAGAATCTCCCCAATTTGGCGTGGATGATCAACAACATCAATGTGGGAGATAAAATCAACACCAAGGTACCAGGCTACGGCAACAGGAAGTGTAAACGGACAATCAATATGAAAGACATGCAAGGTGCTGTTTGGCGCATCATTGATAATAACAATGGAGAAAGCTGGCTTGGAGGTTCTAACAAGGACTGTGCCTCTGAGTGGATCAAGAATCAAGCCATGGCCTATGGAAATGGATATGAACCTGATTGCACGGATCCTGATGAACTTGTCCCCCTCATCTATGTTGTGGACACGGACTCGGGTGGTACCAACGCTGGAACTATCACCAACCAAGTCATCATGTCGGAATCCAAGCTGTCTTCAATTGAAGGCATGTGTCGCTGCGCTGTGCCCACTGAGCCTCCCACTGCTGGCCCCACTGCTGGCCCCACTGCTTCTCCCACTGCTGGACCCACCGCATCTCCTACTGCTGGCCCCACTGCGTCTCCTACTGCAAGCCCCACTGCTGGACCCACTGCTGGACCCACTGCATCTCCTACTGCTGGCCCCACAGCTGGTCCCACTGAATCACCCACGGAAGCACCCACTGATCCACCAGCTCCTGATACCGACCCCACGGAGACTGATCGCAGTGGTCCCACCGACCCCATCTATGTCAAGGGAGATCCTCACTTCAAGACCTTTGGAGGAGAATACTATGATTTCCATGGAGAGTGTGATCTTGTCCTCATCAAGAACCCTCATTTCCAGAATGACTTGGGCATGGATATCCACATTCGTACCAAGATTGAAGACTTTTGGAGCTCCGTTGAGACTGCTGCCATTGGTCTTGGCGATGACACCCTTGAGATCCATGCCAACCCTGAGAGCGACGAGTGGCTCTGGATCAATGGAAAGGCAGTGGACTATGTTGAAGGCGAATGGCACCGTGCTTCCATTGCTGGATTCATGGTCCGGTACAAACAAAGCAGTCCATCTGTGAGGGAAGCCGCCATCTATGTCGATGGGCCCAAGGAGAAGATCGCCTTCAAGACATTCAAGTCCTTTGTGCGCATTGATGTGGACTGGAATGAATCCAAAAACTATGGTGGTTCCTTGGGATTGTTGGGAAGCTATGACCATGAAGGAGCCCGTTTTGGACGTGACGGAAAGACTCTCATCAAGAACTTCCGCCAGTTTGGACAGGAATGGCAAGTTGAGGACTCGGAACCCAGACTCTTCCATTCCTACGAAGGTGCTGTGGTCAACCGGAAGTGTGTCATGCCACCCACATACACTAAAAAGGCCACCTCCATTAGGCAAAAGCGCCGTTTGGCAGAATCGGGAATGACCTATGAAGATGCTGAAGATGCCTGCAACCACTTGAAGGATCCTGAAGAAATCAAGTCCTGTGTCTATGATGTGATTGCCACTCAAGATTTGAGCATGGCCAGTGCCTGGTAAACAAGGAGGGCCTGGTTGTAAAGGATAAGGGGTAGAAAACACAAAGAGAGTATACATAAAGAAATCTAATAGTACCAATTTATCTCAAAACCAATATATGCTTGTATCTCTTTGCTTCGTCCTCATTGGAATCGTCCCTGGTTTGTTTGCAAATCTCCACGGTGCTGCCTTTGTTCCGTTGCCCAACCTGCACGAATTCAGTATTCGTACCGATGCTTGAATCCTTGGCTGCGGTTCTCCAAAATGCAACCACACCCTGTCTCTTCGTCTTTGCTTGCTTGAATCGTATTGGATGCCATTCCCTCTGACAAGTGTTGGGCCAGGTTGGTTTGGTTCTATTCTCGAAGGCACTGGCACACACGACCTCCGTCCCTCAATGCAAAAGATACAATATCATTGCTAGCTAGCTATAGTACTCGTGCTAGAGTCTTGAACGCACGTTACCAGGTATAAGAACAACGGCAGCGATTTCCTCACGCCAGTCGCTGTCTCAACCGGTGCGGTTGTCGAAGTGGGAATTCCTCCTCAATCTCCTAGCTTGACCGATCATAGCTCGTTCTAACATTCTAGCTAACTAACTAAACTGGTCTAATATGGCGCGGTAGTAATGTTGATTGCGGTTTGCTTTCTCGTTCTCTATAGATGTACTTCTAATAAGTAGTACGGTTTGAAGGCACGAAGAACGAAGGAATCAACTCGATGAATCCAAGAAGGAAGGAATCGAATCCAACACAACTACACCAAGAGCATTTGTTGCAAGGATTCCGTTGGCCTAGCTAGGCTACGGTAGGTATGTTCCGGTAGAACTTTTGGGCTACATGTACAGCCTTCGATAACTCTGGTCTTCAGGAACTCGACATCCCGGGGATAGCTACGCTGATGTCATTGCGCTAAGCAACGTCTCTGGCACCATCCGCGGTACCTCTCAATGGGACCCCCCCCCTTGATGGTCCTCAGGACGGCATAGTCTCACTCCAGGGCTCTGCCCCGGTCCAGCCATACCGTAGGTTCGGGCTCCATTCTTGAAAGAACGACGAATGGATCAGACGAGCGATCTGACCTGGCCTCGGGGTCTTGGGGCCGGGGGATCGAAAACAGACAAGTAGACTACTAGTAGTCTACAACAAGGAACTAACGAAAGCAAGCCACGCAAACGTTCATCAACGACTTGACCAAAGGGAGCAAGTCCGAGCTCATGATCGCAATGCCGCCCAATTGCAAGTAGAAAGCTGCCCTAGTAGCAATCTGGCAAGGTCGCTGCGCCAAGCGCTGCTACAACCGGAACCTTACTAGTTGGCCCAAACAACCATCCACAACGGGACCACGTACAGCGGAAGGTTTACGCCGCCGTCTATCAGCTCTAATCTACTAGTATGCATGGCGTTGTTCTTATTACGCGCAACACACAACTGCATGCCCAGCCCATGCCCATTGCCAGCAAGGATGATGAAGTACAGTACTACAATGTAGCTACTACCAGGTACCGGTACCAGTCTCGCTGCCTTCATGATTGAGGCTTGGAGTGAATAAAACTCTCAATTGGTAATTCTTACCACTGGTACGGTACCAGCATATATTTTCCAGCGTGCTTCAGGGGAAGAAAGTCGTAAGTCAGAAGAAACAGCTCCTCAACTAAAATACGAGATAGAGTCACCTGGGCATTGAAAGACGTTCGAAGAAGCTGGGACAAGAGAAAGAGCCTTCACTTATGGCTTTAAGCTCTATTGAAGTTACTTGTCTAATGAACCAGTATGCATGTTTTCTTTTTTCACGTGGAGAGCATCCACTGGACTCTTGAACGTTCAACGAGTCGTGAATCATTCAATTGACCAGGTCCAAGAGCTGTTCAAGTGTTCAAGTGTTCAAGTACACAAAGTGTAGTCCTTTGGAAGCTCTTGTTAAATCTATTTTTCTCCCATGTCGTAAATTGGAACCTACAAACCGGAAGCCTTTTCACTCCAACTAAATTATGCCTCATTCAAAGGAATTAACGTAAAATGGAAGGCCACTATTTACAAAGCAGTGCCTTCCATAAAGCGTACGGCAGCATTGCACTATTAATAATCGTCTGAAAACTGGTAAGATGGGTAAGAAGGTGTAAGATCCGGACTACTGACCATCGTATACAACTTACCCCATTGAAACATGCGTATGACCGCGAAAGGGCCACGATCATTTTCACCATGCCTTTAGTTGTTTATGAGAACACCTGTCTTGGCACGAGCAAATCCATGTCTTATCAAGCCGGTTTGATAAGTCTTTCAATATTCTTCAATGACCGGTACTCTTTGGCTCGTGTGGTTTTATAGTAAATTTTAGTACCTACTGTACCGTTAATGGGACATTACAGTTGCCAGCTGAGTACCGGAGTAGTCGGCATTGTATTGCATTGGGCCGGTTTTAGTAGAGCTTTAGTAGTCACCCTGCAGCCACTGTGTGTCGAGTGGGACCGTCTACCACACGTAGCGGCGGTAGCTACCCAGCAAATGGATCTTGATCTTTTAAATTTGGGTTCACCTGTTCACCTCCACCTCTACTGACTTGGATGTTGGAAGAAGCAGCGCCAAATCCAACAAACTTTGGTGGTTGTTTCGCACAATTCAACAGTCTCGACAACTTGCAAAGCTAATAACCAACAGCTAAGCAGTCTACCAGACGACAGCGATTGTCCTCACCCCCCACAACAGTATAGTAAACGTAAACTACAAGTGCCCAAGATGAAGTACGCTACTGCTACTGCTGCTACCCTCCTCCTCCTGACCCAAGGCGCCTTTGGCTTGTTCCGTGATCAGAGCACCAAGAAGGATCATGAACAGATCCAGCGAAAGCTAGAACAGGGAATGGTTTGTGAGCTCGACCATACGTATGCTCAATCTGCCGACACTGAAGTCCGTGTCTACGTGAGGTCCTACCCAGGAGACGGAGATGGTCTCTTTGACATTACTGTGCGCAAGGAGCCCTGGGCGCCCGCAGGAGGCAGTGTGACAAACCCCGGTTGGTGCATTGATTACGACCGTTTCATCAGTACTGGCTACTACAGCATGGATATCTTCAGTGCCTTTGACCCAGAGTTGCACTACCACAATAACAATCCCAACAAGCGTGCCGTCGATAAGCGTGAGAATCTCCCCAATCTGGCATGGATGATCAACCACATCAATGTGGGAGATTACATCAACGCATACGTGCCTGGTTACAGCAGCAAGTGTAGAAGGACCATCAAGTGGCAAGACATGCAAGGAGCCATCTGGCGTATCATTGATAATAACAATGGAGAGAGCTGGCTGGGATCGTCCAACAGCAACTGTGCTTCTGAGTGGATCAAGCGGGAAGCCATGAGCAAGGGGAACAACTACGTACCTGACTGTATGGATGCCAATGAACTTGTTCCTCTCGTCTATGTCGTCGACACAGACGATGGTGGTACCAACAATGGAGATATCACCAACCAAGTCATCATGTCCGAGACCAAGCTCAAGTCCATTGAGGGCATGTGCAAATGCGCTGTCCCCACCGATGCTCCCACTTCTTCTCCCACCAAGAGCCCCACGGATGCTCCTACCGCTGGTCCTACTGCCGGACCCACTGCATCTCCGACCAAGGGCCCCACTTCTTCTCCCACTGCCAACCCCACAGGAGGACCCACTGCGGCCCCTACTGCAAGCCCCACAGGTGGACCCACTGCATCCCCCACCGACAGTCCTACTGGCGCCCCCACAGAGTCTCACTGTGGTGCCAACCCTCAGCCCCCTGGTGTTCCGTTTGGATCCTACACGGGCAATCCTCAGTGCCACAGTGGTGGTAGCACCACGCCCTTTGGATACGATTACGGATGGAAGATGAACGGATGCCAAGCTGGATCGTACACACTCGATACCGGCGGTGAAATCAAGGGATCCTGTGCCGTGGCCGCCCAGATTATCCTCGACGTAGAATGTAACGATGACAAGTCCGCCACCATTTCCTGGAGTGGAACCGGTGGATCCGTCATGGCCATCAAGGTGAAGGGTGGCTTTGGCGGAACAGTCTACCCTGCCAGTGACATGCGCAATGGAGGAACCTTTGTCGCCGGATTCAACAATGGCGGTCAGCGCGCTGACATTAGCCACATTGAAATCTGTCTCAACTGTGTCGGACCCGAATGTTACGTCGTAGAAGACCCCCCGGCTCCTGATGCCGACCCCACGGAGACTGATCGCAGTGGTCCCACCGACCCCATCTATGTCAAGGGAGATCCTCACTTCAAGACCTTTGGAGGAGAATACTATGATTTCCATGGAGAGTGTGATCTTGTCCTCATCAAGAACCCTGAGTTCAAGAACGACTTGGGCATGGATATCCACATTCGTACCAAGATTGAAGACTTTTGGAGCTCTGTCGAGACTGCTGCCATTGGTATTGGCCAAGACACTCTTGAGATCCGTGCCAACCCTGACAGCGATGAGTGGCTCTGGATCAATGGAAACATGGTCAAGGTTGCCGAAGGTGAATGGGCTAAGGCGTCCATCTCGGGATTCATGGTCCGCTACAAGCAGACCAGTTCTGCCGTGAGGGAAGCCATCATTTACCTCGAAGGTCCCAAGGAGAAGATTTCCTTCAAGACATTCAAGTCCTTTGTCCGCATTGATGTGGACTGGAAGGATTCTCAAAACTACGGAGGAGCCTTGGGATTGTTGGGAAGTTACGACCACGAAGGTGCCATGTTCGGACGTGATGGAAAGACTCTCATCAAGAACCACCACAAGTTTGGACAGGAATGGCAAGTCGAGGACTCGGAACCCAGGCTCTTCCACTCTTATGAAGGTGCTGTGGTCAACAAGAAGTGTGTCATGCCACCCGCATACACTCGTGAAGCTGCTGCCTTGATGCAGAGGCGTCGTTTGGCCGAATCTGGAATGACCTATGAAGATGCTGAAAAGGCCTGCAGCCACTTGAATGGTGAAGAAGAGATCAAGGCGTGTGTCTATGATGTCATTGCCACTCAAGATTTGAGCATGGCCAGTGTCTGGTAAAAAGTGAACGAGCGCATGATGATGAGAAGGAGGCGTAGCAAACAAACACAACAGAGAGTATAGAAATCTATATTTAGTACGAATCCATATTTGCATATTCACGAAACCAAACTCCTTACCTCGGTTCATCTCGTGTGAGTGTTGTCTTCGTCGTCCTCTTCGAACTGTTGTCTTTGTCGTCCTCTTCGAATCGCCCGTGCTTTCTGCGTTGAGATGGAATCGGAATTTTCTTGTGGGGGAGTCAAGTCCCTCCAGTTTTGATTCTCTCCTGGACTTGGGAAAACTCTCCCCGCTGTCGGCAGTTAGTTTGTCTTGTGCTCTCCGAGTCGATCATTGTCGCTCGTTATTGGACAGCCACAAGCGCGTACGAATTGCCACGCGACCAGCGTCTCGAGGAACACAGGACGAAATCAGTTTCGCACCCACCAAAATGCTTCCTTCTCCAAAAGCAACCACACAATGTCTCTTCGTCTTTGCTTGGTCAGGTCGGAACAGAGGACCGTCCTCAATAGTTTCTCTCTGGCTTCAGCCAGACAAACTTCGTCTCCATCCTCCTCGTGACAGCAAGCAATGCAGGTCTGTGTAGTAGTATCTATCTCCGGCTCGCTGCCATCACGAACTTTCCGCAGTGAGGAATCAGTTGCTGCTGTACATCAACCACATTTGGCTCATGGTGGTGCTCAGCAAAGCTGTACCTCGTAGTTGAAACCGCAGAGTCCGCCGACTGGTGGCTGTTTTTGAGCTTCCTGAGGTTGAAACAGCAGAGTCAAGTCCAGTGAATGAAACAGTAGAGCCAACGGTGGCAGCCTCGGTACTGCAGGGACGTCGGGAAGCCAAGGGCAACCAGATCAGATCAGATCAGATCAGATCAGACACAGGCTGCCGGTGGCAAAGGCAGAGCAAAGAGAGCCGCACGGTCCAATGAAGGCAGGAATGTTAGTCCAGCACAAATGGCTCTTTTTTGTGCTGCAATACACAAGGATGCAAGGGTTATTGTATTCATGCAACCCCTGTTCTGCCTCGTTTTGTCCTTAGTCGTTTCAATTTTTGTGCCCCGACAACATCGGCTCAGCTACTCAACGAGAGACCATAGCGCCCGAGCTTGGCACCTGAGCAGTCTTTTTGAGGGGAGTGAGTCTAACTGGTACCAGTTCAGTTACATAGAGGTTTTGGTGCAGACACGTAGAAAGTGTAAAACAAAGACCGTCGATAAGTAATTGACTAAAAATGCCTGTCTCAAAGACCGATAGACTCTCATTAAACAATCTGTGTTAAGTATTGGATTCAATTTAGATAAAGTTTGAGTGAGAAACCTTAACTACTTTAACATATCACTTACGGTTGGTTCTGTAACTTTACCTAGAGACAGAAGGTTTCTGAGATCACTCAAGTACACTGTACCAGACGGTTTTTGCTTCTAGAAAACCAAGATTGTTAATACATGTAATCGTTGGTGTCTCAACTATGACTCGCCGTGTTCAGAGCACTAAAATCGCACATCTGCTCCAATAGCTAGCTACTAATAGACCCGAGGCGAGTTAGACCGGGTTATCGTAATAGTACATCAGATTCTCTCCTGCTAGCTACTAGCTGGTACAAGACCTCTGCTTCCACAGTTACAGGTCCAATTTCTTATTGAGCGCCTAACACATCATGCATGGTATCCTTACCAACTTAACAGTGATGGCTGTGGCAATACATGTAGTAGTCTCCACTCTAACCGGCAGTTTTCTCAGCAGTTTCTTTGGATGGCTGGTGGAACGGACCAGTTGCTTCCGGCTGGCAGTGCACATACATGCACACCAGGTAGCATTGAATTGCGCTCGGGAACTGAGTTTCATTCCTCCGGCGCCGTCCGCGTTGTCATCGTCGAGACGACGCGTCTCCGCACCCTGCTGTACGATGATGGGCGGAGTTGGCGTCCACAGCAGCCATATCTTCAATCCTTTTGCCTTCTCGGCGCTAAAGGCGTGCCTTTTTCTTGTCTCGCTCTAAAATACCAACCATGTTGTCCGAAGAGATGGCTCGTCCGGACCCTGCTGCGGTTGCCGCTGCTGCCGCCGTTGCAGCATGCGGACCACCCTGATCCGTTGACGCAAAACATGTGTCCCTTTTGGAACCTACATGTACTTGCGGCCATGCAGCCGGGACAGCGTTGATTTCGTTCGTCGTGGGCCCAAACAATGCAAGAAAGTGCCAGCAGGAACAAGGCTCTGGATCCTTCTTCTTGGCGGCTGACGTAACTGGGTGCTCGCTCTTGACAAGTGAAGAAGAAGGGGTGTTCCTCGTCAGAGGCTGGCAGAACTAGGATTTGGGCTGGGCCAACACGAAACAAGAGGCTGGGAAATTGCACAGTTACAGGTGGCGCCTCCAGGTTAGTGGGAACATTCCATGGTGCAATCAGCCAGTAGCGCCTGGCTTGGTACACACTTCAAGAATTGGGTAGACGGGCGGCAACTTCACAACCCGAGCACACCAGTGGCACTATGGTAGCCAGCTTCAGTCAGTCAAAGGGCGACAGTCTTGAATCCGAGTACTCGACTACAAGCTTTGAATCCTTGGCTGTGAAGCTGTCTTCCGGTTGGTTACAAGGCATGCATACCGGTAGTTGCTGGTCTTGGGTTCGAGGAGTGTACCTGGCCTGCCTACCGAGGAAACGAAGCAGGAAGCAAGGATATGTGCAGTATGGCTCAGCTGACGTTTGTTGGCTTGCCACGCAATGGATCCTTTAGAAGCTAAATTGAGGATAGCCAGTTCCTCTTGCAACCAGGACTTCAGTGGATGGAGTCGGTGGTTGCCCCAGTTTTCACTGCTAGTAGCACGCGCTGAGAAAGCTTTGCCGTCTCCACAGGTATCACTGCTGGCTAGCTAGTATGCATAGTAGAACTGGCTACCGCTACCGTGCCGTAGCTGCAAGGGCAAGAGGAAAAAGCTACATTTATGTAAAAAAGGTGGAGAGTGACACTCGTACCGTAGACCAAAACCCACAAGTTGTACATGTACAGTGCCACGGTAATTGAAGTTCGTTAAAAATCACTTTTCGTTGGGTATGGGTATGGTACATGTACCGGTGTACCGGTAAACATTATGCATAAAAGCGAGGTAAATATTTAACAATTTAACTAGCTTGAAGTCAGTTCGGATTTAATAATCTGTTCGATGGCTCGCTACCTGGTTGTTGAAGAGACTAAAGGTAGCGATAGATGTATTACGAATGATATTTATAAGATTATGAGGAAAAGCTACTTTGTTGTCTCTGGATCTGTAGATGAGTGGAGGCTAGATTCCGGTTGACGGTGGGGTCAGTATTTGAAGCATTCGTTATCTAGGCGATGTAGTTCTGGTTTAAATCCAGCTTGGACTAGTACGGCGTTGCTTCGTTTGAAGGCTGAAAGAATTTCTCTGCTGTTCGGTTTTTCATCGGTTCCATGTGAATGTAATTGGGATCGTAGCTGTATAGGACAATATATATTGCATGCCTTGGCTGGAGGTAATGGGAAGTTGTCCCGTTTGGTCGGTGTAAATTTGGCAGGTTGGGTCCGTGCGCAATAATGGTTTGCGAAGCACGCTTGGGTGTGTTGTCCTTTTGGTAGGGCTTGCGGGAATTCGATGGAGCAATCGGTACTGGTGGTGGCGTTTTGTTTTTGGTTTTGGGTCACCTGCGCTGTTGCCTGTTGTCCCTTAAGTTGTTGCTTTGATGGGGTGGGTATTTGCGGGGCTTTTTGTGTTGAGGCCTGGAAACCTGTTATATAGTGCTTGTCGGCTGCAGTTTGGAGGCTTGAGGTGCTGGGTGGCCTCATAGTAGCGTGACTGAAGGCTTCTGTTGGGCTTTGGTGGTGATCAAAGTGTGCTGCGTTGGCGAAGTTGTGGTGTCGGTTTGGTGGTGACCGAAGCTTCTTGTTGAATTGGATCTATAGGTGGGAAACCGGGTGGGCTTGTCTTAGGGATGTGCCATAGGCCAGTCTGGGGTGTTCGGTAGCCCGTGATAATGCATTGTGCATTGTAATAGACCTTGACCGTGGTAGTTGGTAAGGGTGGCTGTGCATCCACTATCACAGAGCTGTCCTAGCGAGAAGAGAGATCCTGAGCCATGTTTGAGTTTTTTGAATAGATGAGCTCTACATGCTGCAGTGGGTAGGTGGTGGGTAAATGGTGATGTCTCCTTCAGGGGTGGATGTCATGGTGGCTACTTGTGCTACTACGACTGTGATTGGATTGGTAGTGGGGTGTTTGTTTTGACAACTAGAATTCCACATTAGAAAATGAGACGGGGCTGCACTATCTAAGGCACCTTAATTGTTTGTTTTTTATTGGTGTTGGGGAGGACCTTACGAGTCGTTGTTGTTCTTGTTTAACGTGGGTCTAATTATTTTAGATTGACTGTTATTTTTAGGCGTCCCGCTGAATCAGTTTCCGCGGCGGGGCTGTTATCGTTCGTTGCTGCCTCCCATTTTGTGTTGAGCGGTGGCCTGGATGTTGTGGCCCTCCTTTGGGAATTTGCACGTATCACTGTTGTGGGCTGGGTTGTGGCAGTAACCGTGAGTCCAGCAGCATCCATGGCTCACGCTTTTGGTGTCCGTGAGACCCACGATCGAGGTGTTGGCTTTGGTAGCGGAGCGTCGTTTGGGGCGATCGTGGGTGGTGGTGGTGTTGCGTTTGTGCTTGGGATTCCGAAGTGACTCTTGGACGATCCTGGTGATCGTGGCTATGTCGATTAGTTGTGGCTGGGTGAGCATAGAAGTCCCGGTGGTAACTGTTTGGGTGGCCGTGATAGTTGCGTTGGCTCGTTGGTGGTAGCATGCGGCGCTGACAGTGGTTTCTGTCTGGCGGACATTTTCGGAATCACGAAAGAATTCTTTGAAGTGGGTGAGGGTGCGGTTTTCTGGTGTACGCTTGTTCCATTATCGGATGGGATGAATGAATAGGCCCGTGGCTTGTAGAGTGGCTATTCCGGCGCTGACATCGTTGCGGTCACTAATGACATCTCCGCCTTCTACTGAGAAAGCGATGCAGGTGTCAATATTATCGAAGAGTTCCTCGATGTCCGTGGGTGGAGTCCAAGGCTGGGTTAGGAGTTCACGATTGGCAAGGAGATCAGTCTCAGTGATTTTACCGTATTTGGTTACTAGATGGGTAATGATGTCAAATGGGCTGGTGTTGCCGTATCCCCACATGCGATCTTTGAGGGCCTTTGTGTAAGTATCGTTAAAGGCGTCCAAAATCTGCTGGAGGATTTGGGCCTCTGTTTTGTGGTATAATTTCCATGCATCCAGTTCATTTTTGTAGGTTTGTTCGTGGCGGTACATTAGTGCTTGGGTGGCGTTGGCAGCATGTACGGGTTTGATTGGTTTGACTCTGGGAAGACGTGCACGTCCTGGGATGCTGCAAGTATGACTAGGCTTCTGGCCAGAGAAGATGATGTAGCGTGGGCCTAATCTGCCATCACGTCCTCACTGGAGATGCCTGGATGTGTTTGTAGAAGAACCTGTAGTATGATGGAGGAGGGATAACTTACGCTCTGGTCAGGTTTTGCCAATGATTGGTGTGAGGAGGGGTGGTGAGCATTGCCTTACAGTTGGTGTAGTGGTGGTCAGTTGTAGGAGAGGGTAGAATGGATTTGAAGTTGGGCGACTACGGGTATTTTAGTTCCCTTTGTCGGCGTTTAAGGCCTGTGTGTTAGGTGGTGTATATGTGGGCGGGTAGTGGTATTGTAGGTTGGTGTTGGTGTTTGTTGGCTAGTAGCGGTATCAGCTGGTAGCGGTATCAGTTCGAGGATTTGAGGATTCGAGGAGCGGTCGATAGAGGTGCGGTATCTTTCATCGTTCCGTTCGAGGATAGAGGTGCGTTCGTCGAGCGATGCGTTCGTCGAGCGATAGAGGTGCGTCGTGCCGTTCGTTCGATAGAGGTGCTTCGTGCCGTTCGATCGATAGAGGTGCGTTCGTGCCGCTCGTTCGATCAGTGTAGCGGATCGGTGGTGGTATTGGTTGTATAGAAGGATCTTATAACATCTGTTGAAGAGACTAAAGGTAGCGATAGATGTATTACGAATGATGTTATAAGATTATGAGGAATAGCTACTTTGTTGTCTCTGGATCTGTAGATGAGTGGAGGCTAGATTCCGGTTGACGGTGGACGGTCAGACGGCCGGAATCAGCACTGGTAGCTGTTCGAGGTCGTAGACCAATGTGGTACAGAACCGCGGTAATAAAGTGCCTACCAAGAATTAACAATCGCATTTCCTTGAGTCCATAAAGTTGGATTTAGGCAGCTCGGATTTAGCATTCGCAAGTTGAATGATTGATCGTACAGTACCCTTACAGTCCGACGACAGTACTCCTTTGGAGTTTTTCTTTGAGGAGCAGGTTGGATGGTAACAGCTTTACTACGCCACATCCCGCTCCATGGTTCTGGCTTGTACCAGTACGTATATCTTGTAGTTTGCAGTTGAGCGGGATATTTCTGCCCGCAGCCATCTCCGCCTCCTTGTTCCTTGCCACTTTCTCCTCCGATGTCGATTAAGCACTAAGGAGTACTGTAAGTCTGCTTTGCCTTGGAAAAGGAAAGTCCACGTATTTATTTGGTACCTGGACTTGACACAGTGTCTGAGCTGAAGATGACGCATGGGTAAGGGCTGCATCATGGCTATCAAGAAGCAAGGCGCCTTTTTCTCCGAATAATATTGTATTGTACCGGTGCCGCTGCTAGTACTCCAACCTGGACCTGCATGTCCATGTACTCGTAGTTCTCGGCCGTTGCTATGGTGAGTGCAGCAAGAGGTGCTAGGCTCCCTTGACCACCAGCCATCAGAAGGTTGCAGCGTCATTCGAGATCCGAAAAGTGTTGGCGGGGCGGGCGGGCAGCCAGCAGACAGGCTCCACTGGACCTGAAGCACCATTCGTGGTCGGCGAACAACGTTGCTGTCCTGGCTCTTCAGCGTAAAGAACATGTAGTATCTCAGCCAGCCAAGAACCGTAGCACCGTAGCAACCAGCTAGCTCAAAGCAACGATGTGCTTCTTCCACTTCATGATTGCATGCAGCAAATGGTTTCCTATTGGTGTACTTCTATGAGTTGTTTCTTCTAGTGTTTAGCTTAGCTTCTCTATAAGTTTGCTTCTATAAGTTTGCTTCTATATGGTGGTGCGTTTCCTTAGTCCATCAAGCTGGGTCTTTGTGGGTATCTTGGTGGCTGTGAACTTTTGCATCGTCGCAGAGGTGCTTTTCTTCTTCTTCCCGGCAGGCGGGGTGGGGAGTCTGTACTGCGCATGGAACTCAATGGAATGGGAGATGTGTCTTCTTCTTCTTGTTCTCCTCTCCTGGCGCTCACACTCTTGCTCCTCTTCAAGCTGGGCTGTTGGCTGGGCAGGTTTTCGTCGTTGTGGTGATTGCAGCTGCAAGAGAAAGTGGCTTGCCAGCGTTGTTGAGCACTGCAGTCTAGGTGATGAGAATGATTGGTGTAGTGAGACTCGTGGGATTCTTCAGAGTCGTCGCATAGAGCATTGATGGCGCTTGTGCTCATTTCCCAGTTCAAGTCACTGCTGGAGGCTTCTAGTGGATCCTGATCCAGGGGGATGGTAATAAATTGGGGAATCATGGTTAGTTTTTGTGTGTGTGCTTTCAGTCTTTGGAGTTTTGGAATTGTGAGCTTCAAACCAAACTTGCATCTCTTGTCGCTCCAGCTTGCTGCTTGCCGGACAAGACAAGAGCCAACATCGGAACATCACAAGCCACGAAGGATCCGTGTCGGTGATGGAAGAAGCCCAACCGAAAGATCCCGGTGACCAGAACTTCTGGTTGATAAAAGCTCCTACAACAGGTCGGTATTGCCCTCGCAGAAGTCATTCATCACAGAATTAGGGAGCCTGATGTCGCAGATTTGAGAGTTTGACTCGCAAGCTTACAAAAGGAAAGCAAGAACTTCAGAGCTTCGAAAGGTAAAAGCACTTGTTATGTAATGATGACACCTCATCAAAATCAACTGTTTCAGATCCACCAACGCACAGGTAGAGGATATAAAGGAAACGTTGTCAGGTCTCCTTTACAGGCATTTCACAGGACATAAGGGTTTCTCAACATTGTCAGATTCTACGACCAAACCCACCAAATTTTTGAAAATTGACTACTAGAGTAGGCTGGGCTGTCTGACAGTATATGAGGTAGTAGAGGTAAATTATGGATAAAGCTCCAATCAGATTCACAGATTGGACCTGGCTACTATTGTAAATTTACCACATCTACCACAAAGCTTTTTTGACGTCAGGAGGTTCAGATTATTTTGGCTGGTATAGACCAAGCATTCGGAAGTCCTAGAGGCAGCCTTTTTGACGGTAATACTGATTCTCTTCTGTGATTGGAAAGTGTCCTGTTCACCAGCAACAAGCATCTTTTGGATGAAGCATTGAGCAAACATTGCATGCCAATTTCACCGCGACAACACGAATGGTTGCTCAGATTTGATTCAGCCTTTACCGGTCAGCGCTTTCAATGGTATCAGTGTGTAGCTGTGGCATGCAGCATTTTCTCCTGGGTTAGTGGGAGTCATAAAGGTGTAGTACCCCCTCCCATCGGCGATAGTAGACCAATGCACGTAGTCTACTTGTGTGCACACGAGATAGATGTGCACACGAGATGATGTATACGGTTGCAATGAAAATTATCATCTTCATACCAGTGGAAAACTGTTGGGACAGCCAAAGGCGTAGAACGGCTGGACATGTTTCATGCTCAAAGACTGACCAGGTCAGCCAACGGAAAATCAGTAATACTCGAATCTAGCTAGAGCCTAGCCGTTTTGCCGCAGGAAAGCTATACGACTGTAGGATATGTTCTAGCTGGTAGCTGGTAGATGCTCTCGCTTGCCCCTCTCTTGCGTGGCTGGCTGCTTCGTTGTCAATGATCTTGTTGGATCCTTGCTCTAGCTAACCAGAGATGGTGATGGGTGATGGATGCACCATACTACAGAAGCATGGTGATGTACAGTGCAGTTAAGTTTCACCACCGATCCTCCCACCACAGCAATGACCCTGTACCAGGTACCCTCTGTTGCCAGGCAGCCAGCCATGATCCTACTATCGCTGCATGACTGCCTTCGTCCAAGCAAGCGACCGGTATCAGTTTTCAATTTGCTTCCCTGCCTCCCAGCTCCCAGCGAGGCTATTGTTGCCACCACGAGCACAGGAACTCGGACGAAGGGTTGAAAGCGTCCAACTGAGCCAGCCAAACCATGATCAGGATTTGGGTATTGCCCACACACACGTGGCTGGCTGAGAGCACAAAATTGACCTGGCTAGCTAGTAGCTGGCTGGCCCAACCAGCGCCGGCAGATGAAAGGACGGTCTGCATAATACAGTATGTTAGCTAGTATGTTCATGTGTTGCTTCTACTTCGTAGCTGGCTAGCTACTACTAGCTAGGCACCAACAAACACAACTCTTGATGATGACGCTCAGAGAGCGAACATGGTAAATGTAGTCGAATAGAATACTCACCGCCACACTGACATTACCCACGTCGTGGAAACACGGTAGTATGATTGAATCGAATGATTCGATCGTATGATCCGTGTCAAGCCAACCCACTCACCGCACCGTACTGGTACCG